CTGAGGTCATATGAGGAGTGGTTCAGGGTTCGCTCACATACTTCGTTTCGTTATAAATGTCTTACTCACGCGTAAAAGCGAACGTAAAGTTCAAAACAATTATTTTGCATGAGTAGCCCATTTATAAAGCATTTTAACGTAAAATCAATTACAGATTATAACTCAAGTTGTATAAACTCGATTAGACGCATACAATCCAAATCATATTAATGGTCCTATGTTCAAAGGTGAGTAAATAAAATTTGATTGATTGCACTTGCACCTATTTAAATATAGCGGTTATGCATCATGCATCATTGGTGGAGTCCGAACCAGCGGCCCCTGCTTTTTGCAGTCAGAGGATGAGCCATCAAGTTACCGCCCCGACATTTACACTGTTAAATTCATACTGCTGTTAATATAAATTAAACTAGGGGTATCTGGTAGCATTGGGTAATACTATTTCATGTATACTGTACATAAGCATGTGTCTCAAACTAATCCTGTTCCAACTTTTCGTCATTTCTTGTCAACACCACCATAAAATGCACAATATACGCTTCAGATTCACATTATATCTAACACAGCTTAAAATAGGGAACAGCTAGATTTTTGATTTTATCAAGCTTACTGCAAAGAACACCGCAGATGTTTATTTAGTCAAGATATATATATACTGACTGATTTATAAGGTCAAGATAGTCGGAAAAACGAACGTTAAGATTTTATAAAGAATACAGTGAAAAAATAATCAGGGCAGAGGTCTCCGTATTCGAAATGCTACGTTCCCTAGAGCAGCTTTGGTCGAACAAGAGACAAGACCGAATATGATCTGCAATAAACACTTGAATAGTGCGGCTGATACATTTTCCTGCTGTTAATTTAATTACTGTTTGTGTCGTGGGCGCCTGTTCACGAATTACGGTGATGTCCTGCTAAACGCCATGCTCAAGAGAAGAAGTGATCCGTATGTTTAAGAAGGTCGATCCTGTGAAAAAACTGCTGCTACTGTATTCTTGTCGATTTGATCACACAGGGTCTTGACGAGGTTTCCGGAAGCTAGTTCCTGTATCTCGATTAAACAGCCCCTATTTCGTGCGGGATTCTCTACCCTTACGGCATGTGACATACTATTTTAGAAGGCATATTGTATCTGTCATTGATTAAAATAAGCACTCCACGCCCTATTTGTAGATTTTAAATCAGCATATGATATGGCGCCCCAAGGCATGCTTTTAGTAAAGCTTGCACTACGTAGAGTGTTTCAGAACGTGCTACATCTAATCAGGGCGATTCTACAAAAAGGCTTGCTTACCATAAATGATAGTAACGTAACTCAAACCGTTCGTCCAATCCACAAGCGTAACACAGGACTAATTTCAGTCCATTGCTTTTCTCTTTGTCACGGAATGATTTGTCTGTCCTTCCCTGTTTATGATATAGCGGAATACGTAAAATAATGCTTCAAGCAGACGATGTTGTCAGGTTAATGTTTAGCAAACTCTTTTAAGACTCGTTGTGCGTGGATTATCGACATGGACATGACGGAAATCGTGAGGCTCCATGGAAGACACTTCGCTGCTACCGACACGCTCCATGTGGACCGAATGGCCTTAAAGTATGCGGCCGAATTCAAGTAACTGGATGTGATTGTCGCTACTAACTGCCGAACGGGTGCAAGGCACAATACTGACGAAGTACGTCGAGCGACGGTAACGGGTGTAGGTAAACGAACTTCCTATAGACTTTCCTTGCGAACGGTACTAGATTTGCATTTTTAAATTGCACTGCGTCACTCATTAAGGGAAAAATACGTATATCTGCAAGGCGACACACCGCTGTTTGTAGAGTATTTAAGGGACAGACTCAAATTTCCTACTACGCTTGCCTATTTGGACTTCATAGGTATATGAAGTCCAGTCAAAGATCAAACCCGATTTTTGTAACACAGGGTTAATGACCAATTAGAGCGGGGAGGTAGACGGGCATAATTAACCTACACACAGTACGCGTTTTGTATGTCATGAGTTTCAGCAACTCCTATATAGTACTCTGGTTTCTGATCTGCCAAACGCTACGTCTGTTTATACTAAATGTGGTGGAATATGACTCGGGTATCACTTTGTACTGCTTTCGCGAAGCAGTCTTTTTGATCGGACATGTCAATTTTAATAATTTAAAATTTTAGCCTCACGCACTTATTGAATCACGAAATATTGACTATGGCTTTAATGTACTAATTGCTATTCGGAACATACTGTAACATGGAATTGATTTTTGCGTAGTTCATTTTGTATCGACTTTCCTCGAATTTCTTCGGTAATTTTTGTAAGAAGTGTACTATAATGTAGGCATTCCAGGATAAACAGCTAGTTGGAATTGATTGGAACTTCTAATTTTTTCTTAAGTTATGCTGGGCTGTCTCATAAGATTTGGCAGCGGTTTAAATTTTGGCGTCAAAAAAAATAAAAAGGCCAGATGAGAAAGGAAAAACAATTGTTCACTTTGTATATATTTGTAAGGCTATATTTCGACACTCTTCTGGCGCCGTGTTCGATTCGAGTACATGTTTCAACTTCGAAAGATGCATGTGTCAAAAGTCTATTTAACGTAGACTTTGAAGTTTTATTTTTGAAAATGGGCTAAATGCAACGCAAGCATTTGGCTAGATAGTTTGTAGAAATGGTTTGCTCGTTCTCGAAGTGATACCTCTAGCATCGAGGCGACATCGACAAGGCACATGCAAGCCGATCTTTTGGCTATAAGGACGCTAAAATTCTCGCTATCGTCGATCAGAACCTATACATGAGACTTCGCTAGATTGCACAGAACACAGGAACATCCAAATATACTACTCAAAGACATCTATGCGAGAAATTATCACATCAACTAGGCAAAAATCTGGACTTTTTATGAGTTATTAATTAATAAAGTGTGTTTGCGTAGTCGATCATCTTCCGAAATTGGCTAAGGGTAACCTTTTTCTTGAAAAGATGCTGACGGGAAATGAATTGTGGACAATTTATAATAACGTCACTCGGGGTGGATTGTAATCAAAGCATGGTAGGGCCCCTCAAAGGAGAGCTAAAGTCGTATCCTATACCAAAAAGGTAATACTGTGCATTTGGTAGGATTGCAGGGGAATACTTTCCCAACACTAACCCAATCAAGTACTGTAGCCAACCATCTAAGACAACGTATCCAAGAAATTCGCCAGGTTGTGGCGGATAATAGAAGAGTCGTGTTTTACCAATGACAACGCCAACTCTCACAGGTCTCCACTAATTCGTCAAAAACTGTAGCTTAAAATCGCATGGTTTGCTTAACATGTATTGATATCTTGATTCTGCTCTTTCCGTAGTTCAGTACTTGCAGAGCCCCTTAATGGGGAGAAGTTTGTATCTTTTGAAGTTGTAAAAGATCATGTTGGCTAGGTTATCGCAAATAAACATAAATTTCGAAGAAATTGGTTTGAAACTCTGCTTAGAAATAAGCGAGGGCCATCGCTAATAAAGACCGATATTACATTGATGGAAGCCGTCCGGGTTATATTAGTTGACAGGAAATTCTAGTATTTGATAAACTTCCTCGACTTGCTCGTCTTAGGTGTTTTTGCTCCAAAATCGATGTTGGCAATAAAAAGGCAACCCTCGAATAAACGCTGTACAGAAACACAATAGCTTTTTCGGAGCTTGTTTACTAGATAAACTTAATATTAAAACCTTGTTAATTTAAATGTAAACCCCGACAGGTTGCGACCGATAAAAATTGTATAGAAAAATTTAGATAACGAATACGAATAGAACAATCCTTAGGAAACATACGCTGTAATTTGATGGCTACAGCATTTATTCTACGTTTATATCGTTGACCGTAAGATATCTATCAATTTGCTCCTATCTACTAGCTGGTAAAAAAAATTTTCAATAACTTTTAAGTTGCGCACCGTTAGCAGACAATAAATTTGACGAATATGTACTGGGTCGTTGGCTATCTGATACTGGCTTAGCAAATACGTGCGGTGAGCTCTCAATACAATTTGCGCAATTGTTAAAGATGATGACTTTGCTTGGAGCACATCGTCGCCGTAAGCAACATAGTAAAACAGACCACAACGTCCGCCAGAGACCGGTCAGGCAAAAGCAGAGCGGTGATTCAGAGAGAGCGACTTCGGTGGTACTGTCGAATAGCTTCGGGCGAGAAGCCAATGCCCACGCTCGCGGTGAAAATCAGAACGTTTTCTATTACAGGGTATTAATAAAAAAACGGTAGGTCAGTGCTACCATTATACATCTCAGATATCTAAAGAGGATGGGTGGCGCGACAATCAACAACATACGAGGATTTGAAAATACCCAACGACGACAATGGCCGATCTCATCGTCACACTTCAATGACGACCTGAGCCGAGGAAAGCGGAACCAGGAAACGGTTTTATTCCCATGTTATCCATATTCAAATCCACGCGATTTTTATTGCTTCCACTCTTTTAAACGAAAAATAGGTGACGCAACTTATTTATCGATCAATTCTCATAAATAAGCCATCAATAACAAATTAGGTATGGCAATGTAAACCGAAAGTACACACTCGTCGAAGAGCTTCCACAGTGATGGTTTTCACGAGTAAACAATACTGGGGAGTATGCCTAACGTATATCGAGACGCTGTTTTACTTTATAATGGTTTAAAGGTTTTTTTGAGACTATCGGCTTATTTTTTATAGCTTCAAAGAACCTAATAAAATGATAGAGAGAGATCTCACTTATTATTCTTCATAATCTGCCGGTACCTTTTCTGATTTGTTGCCTGTGTTCCTTTTCTGGACATTCATATTTCTAGCCACAGTTACAGCTTTAAATATCTGAGTAACTACTCTCTATTATGTTAGAAAGAAAACGAAAAACAGCCGTACTCTTCGTTGTTTTCTACGTATGTGTAAATATCACAAATACATGTTGTTCACACAGTGTCGCACCAGAGAGATGCGCTGATATTGTTGAGTAGTTTTTTTCATCTAACCTGACGATATCTTCCGAAACTCTTCTCATTTGGAAGCGGTCCAAGCCAGTTACATGGGAACAGCGTCGACACTGTCCCACTGGCAGACCCATATCCGTAGTTGCCACAGCTGCATAGAATACTTCCCCCACTGCCAAGGAATCCATCTGGGTGTCCGTAATGATCTCTTCCAGTTCTGGAGAACGTTTCAGTGAGGCCATTGTCGCAGAGAATTTGCACAAATGAATAACAGCACTGAGTAAATGTCAACTCGAAGACCCTAGCTTCACAATCCGTTGACTTCTCAAACGTACCGAGCAAGTCACGACCTTAACCGCTACACAACTCCGTTCAACATTCAGCAAAAGGTTAACTACTCATTATGTGAACGTATTAAAACGATCTAACAAAAACTGAATGAAAGCGAGCGACAACAGCGCTCCACTCGAACCATAGGCACTAACTCCTTATGCATGTGTACAGGGAGGTAACAGGTCAGCCCAGTGTGCCGAATGTATGCACATCGACGATCATTAAGCAATGTTGGATGGAGGAGAATTACGATCGGTGTTCTTACCACAACCCTCTCCGGAAAAGGTCCCTCAGGTGTGGATTATTTGAGTACCACGTCACATTCCTCTCGCCCCACTGTTACTTACGGTAGTGCCTTCCATACAAGACAGTCTCGCATCATTGCTGAAATAACAATCCTGTTAGCGTAACGGAAAACTCGAACGACCACGCTCAACACGATACGTATATCGCCGTGTCTCTCAGTGCATTTAACTAATCCCACCAATAAACAGCGCAGCGATTATACAAAAGTCAAAGTAGCCCATAAAGGTAGCACTGGGTCACAAGCTAGCAATATTCTAATGGATGCTGTGAGGCACGGGTATACTCAAACACTATCGTGAGTTGGATAAGCTGATAGCGTATCGTCTTAGTTGCATATCCTTACTCTAGTTTTCCTGCCAGACGACTACTAGCATGTTATAATATATTCAGAAAAGTGAAAATTGCATCAAACATTACATGATTTTAATTTTCAGTTGGCTTTTCGACAACTATAAGACGGCTGTAGATTTCTATCATATGAAGACCAAAAAATACGCCTAGACTTAATGAAATCGACAGTATCACTTGACCATGTTGAAGTACAAAAAAGCTAATATTCTTTAATCAAATACGTCTTGCCACCCACCTTAGGCATGAAATAAGTGCTTCGACAACATTAGCTTCGCAATTACTTTACCTAATCTAAATAGACAATCGCTATTGCAGTTAACGTCTTGGTCTAGTTTCAAAGAACTCGCTCGTTTAAAATGTTAGAGGAAAGCTTTCTTTAATCCCAATAATATTTGTTTGCATTTGCAAGTCAATATTTAATCCTTTAAATAAATGTATCGTTGCTACATTACAGTTTCAGACGTAAAAAAAACTCCACAGCAACCAGCTGTGTCCTCTTTAACTGCTTAGTATCAAATTCTGTACGCAGGTTTGTAGTTATTGCCAAACTATCAGCAAAGAGTACTGATTAAATACTTTTTTCATTCCTATGCAAGAGTATATCATTTTCCCTAGGAGAATAGAAGAGCCCCAGAAAAGCATATTGATTGAAATGTTCGATGCCAATTCGAGAACGTTCAAGTGCTGGGGATGTCAAATTCAGAAGGTGTACGTCCAAAGTAAATACTAGGTTTTGGGGTACCTCCAATTTAAGAAGTACGGCGGTATTCGGGCTAGCTTAAATGGCAATACTTTGTCAGGCGAAAAAAACCTTATAGAAAACTCTATCCGGTTACATTCGCTGCAGGTTTGCAGAACCGCTCAGAGATGAATTCTGAGTTAAAGGGGATTTTCCTGGCGTTTGCTAATGACAGCGATGCTGCGTTCTCCAAGGCTAAAGATAATTGTTCAATGGGGAGTTCTATTCCTGATATTCCATTCGCATCGCGCACAAAGTGACGAACGAAATTCGACTGCCCAATGAGTCTTAGTGAGGACCAAAGTCCATCGCCGTTCACTTTCAACTTCGCTACTGTGGATTCAGCAAAAGTGTGACTTAAAATAAGCAATCGCGAGATAGTGATAGTCGACGAAAAACGTGGCCGAGCAGTTTGGTCCACGGAACCTAAAAAAGCGCCACGAAACAATGCCATCGCGTGATCAGTGTCGTCTATGTCTTCTCAGGTAAGTAAGTGAACAATGAGGTTTTAATGAATGTATAGATGTGTATGTATGACACTTAAGTATGGTGTCGCTAGTCATGGCAATGGAACAGAAACAAGTGTTTTTACTTCTTATAGACTGAGACGGTTTTCTTTGATCGACGGTTCGCGATGAAGTCAGAAGTAACGTTTCGAGTGGAGAATCTCTTCTCTGGACGTATGCTCTGGCCTGAAGTGCCCTATTTGTCGTGCAGCGTCTGTCAAAGCGAAGTCAAACTTTAACTAGATGCCAGAATGAAGCAGGCTGATGCCTATGTCATTTCCAAGGTTTAGGCGGCCGCTGATGCAAAAACGGGTGTTTGCAGAAGGGGCATAGGTCATCAATTTCGAGGACTGTAAAAAAAGATATTCGCACTAGCGAAATCTGAAGTCACTTTTGGAGCGAACAATAAGACATTAGACTCGCGGTAGCTTCAAAAAACTCTGACTCGAAGCCGGTGCTTCCTGTAGCCATTAAACGAAGGCTAAATAAGGTAGCAGTTAGAGGGAAACGCAAACTGGAGAATAGGAAGGTGTGAATGTTAAAATCGACGATAGGATCTAAAGAAAATACGAAATGGTACCAATGCGAAGTGATAAACACGCTTGATAGTAATGATTCGAAGTTAAGCAGCAGTTGCCTTGTAGACAGGAGGGTTCTTTCAAGCAAAGTGAAAATGCAGGAAAAGGGTTTACATGAACGTCGTAAACCAGTAGCGGCATATACTACGTAGACTTGTAAGCGATGATGCGCTTACTGGGTGGCAGGTGGAGCCGATTTGTTCTCTACAGGTGGCGTAAGGTTAGTGCTGGAAATGCACCTGACCGCTATACCGCTCTAAGAAATCGAACATACTGTCCTAGATTCTTTCATTTAATATATCTAGCAGACGTCAGAGACAGTATAAAACTAGAAAGCAGTTTTGAGAAACGCTCCGCTTAAAGGTTACGGAATTGTATGGCGTCGTTCAGTGCCATGCCTGGTTAACGCTTCCGGCCGAGGAGCTGGCTTTGCTTAGAACTTGTCGTTCACGGACTATCGGTTCGCGAGTCATAGCTCTTTAATTCATCATTAGCCGTAGATTATCAAGGTTCTCCGGCGGCGTCGACACCTAGGGTATTTCAGTGGACATAAACGCCAATTGAATAGTGCATACGCAGCGCCCTAGCCAGCAAGGTGCTGTCAATAGACGCCAAGCACAACAAGGCACACGCTCAAAAATTGACCGTAATTGCAGGCAGAAATATATCGATCAAATGATTTCGTCAGCACAGAGGGCATGTAGAAAAGGGGTGTGCTTGTGTATTTGAATGGTGCGTATCTACAACTAATATATGTCTCAACCGGATATCGTCTATACGTCAACCACTGGCACGTGAAAGGCTCAGGCAAATTGCTAGGATTGATAGCGATTGACGCAATTTGGAGAATAAATGATCAACGAGTCAATCAGTTAATTGGATGTTAGTTCCCCGAGCGTTCGGGCCGAGTACCTTTTGCCGAACATACCTATCATGTTCCAGTGTATATATATGTAAAAAGCTAACGTGTTGTTTTCGGCGTACACTATAAATTCAACGATTTAGAATTTTCTTTCTTTTGCAATAGTCTCCACGAAAGCAATTGAACAAACCAGCATGCACGCAACAGTTAATTTTGTCACTGTTAAATTTGACGTGCAACCATATTTGGAGTTTGGCATGCATGCTACTTTTTCAACACAGCTTTGCTCGGAACCATTTCCAATATCGAACACCGGCACATGTCGGAATTCGATCACGCTGGTGCGTTATTCAGGGTCATCACTAAGCAATGGAAGAACTTTGTTATTACGTTAAAACGACTGATTCTTTATACCGTACTCGACTCGAAATTTACATCTGTCAGTTGCTTAGATTTAAGTCACGTACGAACTGAAATGAAAGCAGTTGTTCGGCACACCGTGGCCTTTTTTTTATAAGGCCACGATGTGCCCCACACTACCATCGACAGTCGTTCTCAGTCGGCCAGGAATGCCTCGTAACACTGAACGATTACGTGATCTTAACAAGACTACGCCAGATAGCACTACACAGATTACATAGAAATCATTCTAAGCACCTCCATGTCTAGTAATTCGCTAGAAGTTATGTCAGCTGACCACATCCTGGTCGTAATATTGAAAATGTCGCTCCTGGTAATTCTAGCAGGTGGTTCATAATAGAGCTCAGACTGTGGAGGAGCGTGCCTGCACTGGCGGAAATTACGCATGTAAATGTTGTAGTAGCGCTAAACGCAGGTAGGATGAACAACAAGGAGCTTATGGAATCCAATCTACAATTGCACGTACGTTAGTATAGGGTGCTGTTTTGTTTACTCACTTTCCCCATGCGAACTTGCAAGGAGGCTATCAGACAATCGAATAAGAAACATCACACGGTTTGTGATGATCGATAATTCGTATCGTAAGCGTTCGTAAAAATTTGCTATTAAAATGCGGAGTCTACTACGGTGACACTCCAAAGGTTTGTCACAGAATAGAGGCGGTACTTCCCGCTGACGAGAGCAGTAAAGCGACTGATTCAAGGTATTAGCTTCTGTTTGTAGTAACTACAGAAACACTATAAACGGGACGAATGGATCATATCGCTACCACACGGAGCATTACGGATGCCTGTTTAACGGCTTCGTCACAAGTACGAAGCCGTTAAGCAGACATCGTAGCCCTGCCCGCGAGGGAAAGATGCCTTTTCATTCCTGCAAAGTATAGCTGACTCAGCCGTCGGAAACTGAAAATTGTCACAAGCGGCATCTATTCGTTGGCCACATGTTGGGCCTCCAAGCATGTACTAGCGACTTCTTTAATAACATTATCTTCTCCGAGGAAACTCATTTCAGCTGAAATATTATGTAGATAAACAAAATTATCGTATCATGGGTTCTGTGGAAGCAAGGGTAAGTGACGGGTAACGAAAGACTTGTGATTTACAATTATGCGAAGCAACGCGGGTCATGCAAGCGGGTTTTAAGAAGATATTTGGCTGAAGTTGCATCTTATATGTAGTGCATAGGAAAACTTTAAGCTGGCGTAACGTAATAATAAAAACACGCACGAAAGCTCGACCCTGGATGAACTAAAATAAAATAGCGACTATGAGTACCTATATATCCCTCAATGTGCCCGTTGTATAGTATTATAGGAATCGCTTTGCAATGCCTTGGTTACAAATAAGATATGTAGATGAATCCGCTCATTACTGGAATAATTTGCGTATGTCCTGCTAAGTGGTG